TATTTGGTAACATTATTTCTTTTTAAACAGAATATTCACTTATTTTCAAAAGTCTATTAATTTTGTTTACTAAGTTCTTTTAAAATGAAATTATATAAAAACTTTGGGGAAAATCCAAATGCTTAGAATGTGAAGTAGAGGGAAGATTTTTTTTTCACCCATATGACCTACTTTTTGGAATCTTTTTGAAGTTGTCTTTGCAGAATAAAATCAGTTGTGAATATTCCATAAGCATGTGAAACGAATGGACATTCTATGTTGGACATCACTATATATATATATATATATATATATATATATATGTATATATATTACAAAATATCCCCATTAATTATATATTACAAAATATCCCCATTAATATATATATATATCCCCATTAATTATTGATAATAGTATTTAAATTCCCTATGATTTTATTTATTACCACCATAATCTACCATAAGACAGGTTAAATTATTTCACTGTGATTTTGTTTTTGTTTTTCAATTTGAATTGGGTTTCTAATGATTTTCTGCTTTCAAAATTACATAATTCAGAGCATATGAATTCATTTTTTATTATATGTTCTTATAGTTTTTTTAATATGGTTTTTTTTTAAAAGCCATCTTGAACCAGAAGTCTGGATTAATATTTAAATGGAACACATGTTCTAATATGTAAAAGATGTATTATTAAAGTATTTTACAACATAAAAGAGAGGACATGAGGGGAAATGAAAAGAAAATGTAACCTTTCCACTTCCCCTCAAAAAAAAAAAAAAAAAAAAAATGAGGGAGCATTTTCCAGTGTATGTCTCTTTCGAGGCAAGGAGTAAAATGGGAGAAGAAAAGACCACAAAGGAAACAATTTCTGTTTAGAAGATCCATTTTGACTCAACCTCAACAGGTAGCATAGATAAGTAAAAATATCCAATAAGAATGTACTTCCTAGTTGTCTACTGTAGTGAGGTGGGAAAAGCATGAGCTTTCAAATAAAATCAGTAAGGATTCCAAATCAGCCTTCCCACTTTGAATTTTGGCAAATTACACAATTTCTATGACCTTTAGTTTGCTTTTTAATAAATGGAAAAACTAATGCCTATCAAAGTGAGAATTAAATGAGAATGAAGTCAAAGTTTCTAGGCTAATGCCTACAACATGTTGGGGGCTAAGGGAATATTACCAATACATGATGCTTTGTTGACAAGTCCTAACTCACTGAAGTATAAACATCAAATTTTTTTCTGGAAATTATCCTCAGTATTGCTCAATAACTGAAATTGCTTATTTAATAGTCCTGCTTAATAACAAACCTAGTACCCCCTCCCCTAACATGTTACTCATTTACCTATAATTTTTTACTCGACGGTAATCTCCAAAACATTGCAATCTCTACCTTCTTCCTGTTAGTTCACTACTGTTTCCTTTTTTCTTTACCTTAGCTTTCACGTTTCATAATTTTAAAGTCTTGTTTGCATATACCCTAAACTCTTACACCTCTTATCTTTATCCATCTAGCAAAGTTGTAAACACATAACTATTTTCTCTGGCCTGCACACAGGTTGCTAAGGATTGCTCATATAAAACCTACACTAGGACAGATGGGAACCCCCCTAAATTTATTATTTGCAGTCTCAAATAGGGCAGTCAAATTCCCCAACACATCTATCACTTTTGCTCCACGGCTTGACAGCCCATCCCCTACAACAGATGTTTCAAGCATTCGTTGTCTTCAAACCACCAACTCCTAGCAATTATACCCTCATTCTTAGCATTTGACATTTGACTTAACCTCAATGAGAAAGAGAGAAGGAAAGAGGAGAGGATGGGAGGAGAGGGGAGGGGAGGGAAGAAGGAAGGATATAAAAGAGGAAGAGAGGAAAAGAGGGAGGGAGGAAGGGAGAGGAGGAGGGAAAGGAAAAGGGGAAGGAAATCCATTAATCATTCATCTTAAGCAATTGTTGGTCCACCCTCACCATCATCACCACCCTAAAGAGATTAGTCAGGTTCCACTATTCAGTGGTTCAATATCACTCTTGTATTGTCCCTTTTTTGCTGTGAAATACTTTATAATTAAAAAATATAATATATATGTAATATGAAAATATTATTACAAATCCTTGTACACCAAAAATCCAGTTTAAGGAATAGAATTCTTCTAATGCTATTTAGTAAGAAACATGGTGGCCCAGCTAGAGACTATATTTTTCAGTCTCTCTATAGGCGGCTGTAGTCGTGTGAGTATGCGTAATTTTACAGCATATCCATCTCCCTAAAAAAATATGTTGTATACATTTATGTGTTTGTGTACATGTGCAAATTACAAATATTGCTATTGTAAATATTTTGTACCTACATATTTTTTAAAATGAGCTGTTTTCTATTTGTAAATTTTTTAGTTAGGATCCATCAACCCAGGACCACTTTAACTTCTTTCCTCTGCTTGGGAGATTTTAGATCACTAAGTGAAATGATTTTCAACCCCAATCTTGCATGAGTGTGTGAATTGTGACAAAAGTTTTTAAAGAAACATATTTTTATTCCATTTAGGGCCAAGACCAATACAGGTACTTTGTCATTTCCCTTTGAGGGGCTCTTTTTAAGACTATCAAATTGCTGTTGTTGGATTTAGAAAATCTCAGCTATTAATTAGATTTTTTAGTGAGAAAGGAACTGGCTTACTGGCTGTCAGAAAGCTAATCTGGTCCATTTTGTAGTTAGCTTTGCCATTCCTCCTGGCATTGTGATGCTCCCTTATACTGCATAGGCAGGTGCTGGCTGTTCCCACCACATTTCTATAGACACTGGCTTAAAAATCTGACATGCTTGCACATTTGCATATATTTAAAGTTATTTCCTGATGGATTCATAATTACATTTTCAGACACAACTTAATAAGAGTTCCTAAAAACTAAAAAGTTGAGCGCATAAAGACGTGATCCTGCCTTCCAGCAGTACAATGAAATATGCTTTGGTCAGCCAGGAGTTTCCAAAACACTGTCCTTTTTGATGTTCTGCCTTGTATTTTCAAATCTGTTTTTAGTGATCAAGTCTATAGAATATAACATGTTTTATTTTAAACACACTTTCAATATAAATCAAAAGGTGAATAATTAAAAGCCGACAACCATGTAGCATCAGATTAGACTTTGGCAGTGAATAAAACATCCTGTTTTCTGTTCGTCAAAAGCATCCCAGGGTGAAGTGGGAATGGGGAATGATGAAATTCTTTGAAAGACTTGGAGTCCAGGCTCAGATAGGCAGGGACAGTGATACAAATTAGTCTATATGACATTCAATATGTATTGGCTTCACATACTGTTAATACTCCTTACTAGCCGTGTGATATGATATTAAAACTTTCAATTCTCTCATCTGTAAATAGATGACAATATTTATGAGGATTAATTGAAACAATAAATACTGAGGATCTAGGATAGGACCTGGCATATCGTAGCTATTGATAATAGTTATTATAGTCTATCCCCAAGGTAGCAGCTAAACCAAATTATTTTCATGAAGAAGAGGAATCAAAGAGCCTTCATAATACCACAGAGATTTAATGATGAAGCTTAAAGAATAGTTTTTAATTTTTGTATTTTGCAGTTATTGCAATAATTTATTTATGATTAATTATATGTTTACCGACTAACCAAACAAAGACTAATGTTTTTTAACATCATATAATTGATTGATTTCTTTACACTTGACAATAACCCTTTGGAAAAAAATAGCAAGACCCTACCTAATTTTACTGACATGAAGTCCAGTCAAATTAAATATTTAATTGCTGAAAATAAAAGTAGACATAAAGAATGGGAGAATGCATGCATATATTTTTTAAAATAATTTTTTTAGTAAAGACAGTTTTGTTATGCAGGTCATAATGTCTAGACACCTCAAATAGATTGATAAATGGGAAAACAAATTTTTTTAAATGTCTATTTATACTGCATAAAATAAATCTAAACTCAGGTAACAAAATGGGAACACTGAGCAGCATATATTGTATGACAAGAAAGTGGCAATTAGTACACAAAGAGCTCTTACGAATCAATAGAAAAATAGCAACTTAACTTCAAAATTGGCAAAAAATATGAACAGACCTCATAAAAAATAAATTCAAATAGATAATGGATATTAAAATGAAAGTTCACCCTCATTCATAATTTTGAAAATGCAAATTCAAACAATGATATTTTAAACTATCAAAATGTCAGACAGCACTCATTTTATATTTCATAACTTTGATGTACATGTGGTAAAGCAGGCTCATCCATTCACTCTGGCTTGGAATGTAAATTGCTAGAATGAAATTTGAAATACGTATATCAAAATTTAAAGTGAACATACCCACTCCTAGTCATTTATTTGCTTAATATGCTGACACACCAGTGCAAAGCTCTATGCAGAGTGTTTAAGAACTTTTATTGTAGGATTAGCTATATAGTGTTTTGGTGTGTTTTTTAATACTGGATAAATCTAAAAGTGCATGGTAAGGAAATAGTAAAATAAATAAGGTAAGCTATATACTTAATATGGTATGTTCTTGGCTATTAAAAATGAGAAGAACTACAAAGTGCATTTTGGAATAGTTTACAAGTTATAATGTAAAAATATAATATGTAAGAATTTATTATAAACTTGCATCTATATAAAAATTAAATGTAGATACAGGATATATATTAGATATTTTTCTGGGGGAAATAAAGAAAAACATATTGGGAGCAGAATTTGGGGTATGAGTAAGGAATAATAGGAAAAAAAAGAGGTGAGAATTTTTTAATACTTTAATAGTTTTCTGAAACTTTTTAAAAGTTCCTCTATGCTCATGTAGGTTCTGCTTTTATTTTAAAAACTAGTGCAATTATTATGCTCATTAAAATATATCAATTATAAAGGACTAAAATTTTAAATGTCAGTAGAAGCCTTGTGCTCTTGAAAGGGAACTGTCTAAACTTGACATTCTTGAGATGAAATGATGCATTTATTTGGTGCTTAATGAGTATTATTTTCCCCTAGACAAAGCCAAGGGAAGATCAAGAGCAGGGACCCACTTCGACTCAGCCCGGAGACGGAGTCGAGCGGTCCTTTATCACATCTCTGGGCACCTGCAGAGAAGAGAGAAGAACAAACTGAAAATAAATAATGTAGGTGGATATGTGTGTACACTCTGAATGCTAGACTTTCCCCTGGTGGCAATGTTTGATTCCCTAAAGAAAGGCTCCATTTACTCCTTTATTGGCTTTCCTAGATTTTTTTTTTCCACTTTGGCTTGTGCTTTCCTATAAAGAACAAACTGGAAAAGGTCAGTAGTCATGAGGCATTTCTGTAATAAAAGTGCTTAATCATTGTGTTATCACAGCAGAGAGATTAGAATATTGCGGTCAGTACAATAGGATACTAGAGGCGCTGTAAATGGAGAGACACTGGCTATATTTTCTGGACAGGAGGATGCAGCAAGTCCTATTACACATTCACAGCATGTTGGTTAAAATTTCTCAAATTAAATTTTAGCAGCATCTACTTTGCACTTTATCTAATTTCACGTACTGATTTTATCCAGGGGGTCCATGAAAAAATCAAGATCATTACTCCTCTTTAAAAAATTACGTTTTATACAAAACACAGTTGGAAATTGCACACAGGAGAACATTGAATTTGAAATTTCATGCCATACATTATTCAACTTTGTAAAAAGTTGCACTCTTAGTAACAGTAGAGCTACTTTCTGAAACCTGGTGCTTATCTGTCAAAAAGCCATGGCGAATAACTGTGCCTGTAAAAGGTAATTCTACAGAGTTTTACATGACATATATCCGCCAGGATTTCACAATTGGTTCTTAGCACTAACAGACCTCACTGAGAAGGCCAGAACTATGTCTGTTTGGTGGTAGATACTAAGGATAATTTTTCAAACAATAACAATGTCCTTAATTTGCACTGTGGAATCTCTAGAGCATACACTTTTTGGGGGGGTGTCTGACTAGGGGTGGCAGATATAAATACTAAGGTTCTAACTTGCCAGTGACATTAGACAAAGTTACATCAAACAAACAGAACTATTTGGGAATCGATCTAAGATTCGTAAGTTCTGGGAGTTAGGGGCACAAGAGGATTCTCTGGTATCTTACTTTGTACAGGGGACCTCGAGATGACCTAATCTGACATACAATTGCTCTGATAAAATCGAGTCACGCATCAGATATACAAAATAGCCACTTCTCTGAGTGTGACCAACAAAGGAGATGCATTTGCCCAGGTGTGGAGGGAGATCTGACAGCGAAATGCTGCAAACCTGGTTCTGCTTCAGGGTGACTCCCTCTGGAAGCCAGAACAAGTTGTTGGGTCCATTTGTGCTCCAGGGCCATTGGCCATGCTGGTGTTGACCTGCCATGCACCACTGTTTTTTGTTTGTTTGTTTTAAATTTATTGATTTTTTCACAGAGAGAAAGAGACAGGGATAGAGAGTTAGAAACATCAATCAGCTGCCCCCTGCACACTCCCTACTGGGGATGTGCCCGCATCCAAGGTACATACTCTTGACCAGAATTGAACCTGGGACCCTTCAGTCTACAGACCAGCGCTCTATCCACTGAGCCAAACCAGTTAGGGCAATGCACCTAACTGCAATGCACCTAACTAATCTCTGCTGTGATAACACAATGATTAACTAATCAACAGTGTTGAGAGTCAAACACTGTTTACCATATTTCATCTTGTCTTAAAGATTTTCTGGGGATATCTGTGCCCCAGTGTCACATGGATTTCCTGAGAGTCTAGGGATAGACTTGAGACAGGGTACCCAACTTGATCTGTGGATCCTATTCAGGTTCCTATTTACATCTCCCTCCAGTTACCAAGTCAGCCTTAGCGACAGTAAACAAGTTCTGGGGAGAAACAATGGTAACCACATCTGAGTTTGATTCTATTCAAGTCACCCAGCAAAGCACTTAAACAAATATTAGCCCAAGATTCGGCAACGCTGAAAGCTGACACTGTCTTCCAACCTTTCCCTGAGAGTCATTTGAACATAGCAAGTAGTACTGAGCTTTAAAACGCATTTGCTGAACATGCTGTTTTCCCCTTTAGAGTCAACAAAGTACAGAACACTACTTAAAAAAAAAAAACTCATTTTAAAAAATCATAATTCCCACCACTTAGCTAATTAGCTAAATTGCCATTCATTTAAGAAGTACAGACATCAAGATGGAGCATAAAAATAATACACGGTAATTAAGGACTTCTAATCCACAAGGTGATTTAACAATTCGGGTAACTCTTCTGGAAACAAAGTACAGAATCACGAATGGCCCTGTCCATTATCACCTTTCCAGAAGAACAGGGTATACTAGCTATAAGAGTAGGAAGAGAGAAGAAGGGGAAAAAAGATCTGGCCAGTTTATTAGCTAAACAATCAATCTTTGGGAAATCTTTGGCTATTCACACACACACACACACACACACACACACAAAGACTTCTTAATATTTGTGTAGATCTCTATTTTTAAATTCCTTTTACTTACATCTTATTATTTTATTCTTACACTAAACCAGTACCAGAGGTGATGTTTATTAGTGATGTTTGAATAATAGAAAAGAACAACCTAGGGAGATGTCCAAAGTAGAGCAGTGGACGTGGGATCCAGCTGTGAGTCCTCTGACTCAAAGGCCCTGTGCCTCTGGCCTTATCCTGCTGCCTCTCTGATGCAGTTCTGTGGACGAATAATACATGATCCAGACACAGATAGATCTCAGCAGGCCCTTAGCAAGGTTCCATCCCAATCAAGTTGCAACACCTTTTAGTCACGGCTCTTACTCTGCCAGAAACATCTTGGAAAAGGTGTTTCATTTCTGCTCTCCTTGATTTGTTACTCCATTAAACAGCATTGGGATGATGCAAGTGTCTCCAGCATGAGTGCCTTGGGGGCTTGAAAGGAGGGTGCTTTAAATGGTCGAGTATTACCAGCAGGCTACTACTAATGGTCATCAAAGGTACACTCCGCCAGGATTACTTTGTGTAGTGACTGTACAAACATTTTCTTCTCTGTCTGCTCATTGAGAATTTAGTTTTAAAGAAATACTGGAAAAATAGTTTGGAAAGCAGTAAGCGTAACTAGATGTTAGTCTTAACCATTGTGTTTCAATAATTTATGGGGTACAGGTTAATTAGCTAAAACACCATCGATACTAAAGAATAGGCTTCAAAATTAATGAACAATATTTGAGAATAGTTGCTTGTATTATACTTTAGGCAAGCTCCATGTTTCAGGGTTACAAAAAGGTATTTTTCTCCCTACTTGCTAAAAGAATACTTTTTAATTATAAGAAACCTTCTTCCAAAAAGATTTTTGATAAAACTTAAATGCAGTGGTGGGAAGAAAGAAGCATCTGGGTTGTTTTTGTTTTTCACTCAGGTGATTGTGTCAAGATGTATACAGAATTTGAGTTTAAATCTAAACTCATGCTTAAATTTTACCTGAAATGTGTTAGATTGTTAGTATCCTTTAAAATTAACTACACATTTTAAGTAGCCTATAAAAATGAAATCTTGTGATTTATTTTGTGGATACATTGCTGACCTTTTGCTTCAGCATCACTTGTGATTCATATAATCAATATAACCCAAAGAAAATACTTTAATTCTCGGCCTTTCCTGACCCTCCTTTCTGGGGTCGGCTTCTCCCACAAACAAGATAACATTTTTTTATTTTGAAACACTATCGGAAAAGACTTACTTGGATAGAAATTAAGATAGTCCTTTATGGTTTATGGTGATGCCTGACTGTAGTAAATATTTTTAAAAGAATTCTACTAGAAAGCATCATGTCCTATTGTAAAATAGATGCAGTGCTTATCAACCTTGAGGAGGTTAATACCTATGGAGCCTAACTCTCTCCTCTGCACCAACCTAAGCTTTGAGAAGCCCAAGAGTTATACTTCCTTCTCCTCAATTTTATGCCAAAATCTATCTTTGGAATCTGATCCTGGAAAACTAGAGAAAGAGATGAAGGAAAAGGGTCAAGTACCAATTATTCTCAATTTTAGACATATATTACTGATTCATTTTGAAGTGTATTCTCTAGTGCCAATGGTGTTTCAGTAGGTGCAGTGGCAGATGGGCAATAAAAAGCAATCTGAAAGTGGTGAAGGCATTTCTCACCATGAAACCTTAACAATACGAGCTTCCTATGTTGGTTAAGTAAAAATACTAACAGAAAATAAAAACATGCTTTAGGGTTGCCTACCAAGAAAAGATGCGAAATGAAGGGTGCCTTCATATAATATTAAGGTAGTAGAAATATTTCATTGCTGATAGTTACCACTATAGAGCTGAGTGTTCCGATCACTCTGAACCTTCCTGGAGTTCTCGAGTGTCTCGGGGCTTCCCTGAACAAAATACATTAATTGGTTCTTTCTTCAGTGACTGAAATGAGAAAACACATTGTGACCCCGTAAGTAACATGCATTCCAGAACTTTTAACTGTTCCGTTCATTCAGCTTCACTTTGACATTTCAGCTTCCATTCCCAGTCTTGTATTTCCCATTAATTGAGGTTAAACGGGGTCGACGAGTATCTGGCCATAGTCTTGTCAAACTTCCACACACGCTATTGTTGCACCTCCCTTTGTCTCACAGCAGCGAGGAGAGCTGTGCATCAATCCTGACTGCTTTCAGAGTGAAGTGCTTTTGCAGCTGTAAAAACTCCAGCTCTTCCGCATTTAATCAGCTGCAGGGTGAACATTGCCTTTCTCCTCCCATGATTTGAATAGTAACTCTAACGTGATCATGTCTCCCTTCCAACCTCAACCACAGCTAGCTAGCCTCAAAATGAATCCATATCAATCAAGGCTATGAAATCTGGGTTCCCAACTTGAAACTTCACAAAAAACAAACAAACAAACAACAACAAAAAAAAAACAAAAAAAAACACCCAACTCAAAATGCAAGTGGTTAGCAGAACTTGGGTATATTTTGAAAGAAAGGTACACAGCTGTTTAAAATAGAATGTTGATTATATTGTCTCTATCTAGAAAGAAACTGTATCTTCGTTATCATTAGAAGAATTTCAGGTCCAATATATTCTTTAGTTAAGGACTGTCACCTCAAAATTATAATTATATGCAGTGATCCCATGACAATAGGAATATAAGTGTATCTTTGTGTTTTTAAATGTTATAGGATTATATTTACAACTGTGGAAGTTATAGGCAATATTTTAGGTAATGATCTTTTCATTTTTAATGAACAAAATCTGGATTGCTCAGTTAACATTCACGACTAAACTCTGCATATTTCTATTACCTATATAACAAAGACCTCTGCTCAGGTTTAGTTTATACATCTCTACTTTTTGCATCACCACCTTCTAAAATCCACTTTTCAGATAGACTGACATTGTATGTCTAAATGATCCTCCTCACAGACATGTGTCTAAGGCTGTGTGATCCAGGTTTCTAATTTGTGTCTCCCTTCTCTCCTTTTTGTCTTTATCCACAGAATGTTTTTGTAGATAAACCGGCGTTTCCGGAGTATAAAGTTTCTGATGCAAAAAAGTCCAAATTCATACTTTTGCATTTCAGCACTTTTAAAGCCGGCTGGGACTGGCTTATTCTCTTGGCGACGTTTTATGTTGCCGTGACCGTACCTTACAACGTTTGCTTCATTGGCAACGACGACCTGTCCACCACTCGGAGCACAACAGTGAGCGACATTGCAGTGGAGATTCTTTTTATTATAGGTAAGAACCAGCGCCCGCTTTCCTAGGAGATTTGCATAGGGGAAGCGAGTGTGTTCCAGACTTTTCCGACACAAATTGGAACCAAGAACCATTTGCATGGGCATGGCTCAGCCTCTGATGCAAATGTTAGAGATGCTCATATTTGAATGTCTGAAAATTATCTCTTCCTTCCAACTTTCTATTCCTTTACTGCAAACCAATATGAACCGATGCGTTGTGCTTTCATCTTTATTTTGTCAAAAAATGGGCTTAAAAAAAAAAGTTAGTGACTGTTGCGTTTGTACTCACCCATCCATCATTATCTTATTAACTGAGTCAGAGCTGGGGCGTGGCAAGAACTCATCAGTGATGTTCTGACAATGGTCCCATCCTGGGCATGGTTCTCCATGCCCTTCCGTGTTCTCTCGACACACTGACGGTGGTCGCAATATGAGACCTGGTTGCAGAAGCAGAGGATTACATAAGCCTTCCAATAAATCAAGAGGAGCAGTGAGTACCTAATTTTAACTAAAAGAGGCCGCCAGGGATGTTTGCTAAGAGTGTTTATCTTTAGAATAGCGGGAGTGTCAGGTGAAGCTGCGTCTCTTCACTTTTATATTCTTTGCCTACATTCTATTCCTTAAATCTTTGTCTTGTTTAGACCAAAGCCTAGCTCTGGCTTGCTCATTCTTGGGCAAATACTAGATCTCTGCTATGGCTTGGACTGACTCCCTGTGGAGTTCCCTGTACCTTGAATTCATTCCTATGGAGTTCTTGCCTTCATTAGCAACCTTATGCCTACTTCTCTGCCTCATTATGGTGATGTAGGGCAACATCCTTATTGTAAATATAAGAGAATGTTTGGAAATATTTTCTGACAGTTTGTGAACAAAGGGATGAGAAATGGATTTTAAAGTTCAAAGAAAAGGAAATGAGGCAGATCAAAACCTTCTTTCAATAGTGGTGGTACTCTCCATGGAGCTGGTAAAGCTTTGGGAGAGGGAGTCTTCCAACTGAATGAGCATGTTCTGGATGAGTTTGTATGGCCTATGTGTGGCTTTGGTGTCACTGTTAGCATTGCATCTGCTGGACACGCCCCTCAGAGCTATCTTAGTACCCCTGCCCCCACCCCAGAAACGTTGGCTGTGGTATGTTTAGGCCACTAGATGGCACTGTTGTCTAGTTGGGTAGGCTGCAGATCCAAGGAAACTTTTTTTTTTAACTTAACCTATACATTATTGGAAAGGTGTAATGGTAAAGGGATATTAAATCACTATTAAATGGCAAATAATAATATTCTAATTTGTAAAGGAATTTAAAATGGAAATTGTAATCATATTGGTTGTGTCCATGTACCAATCCATTGTGGTTTTAGACCCTTTTACTTGCTAACTTTTTTTTTTAAATATATTTTATTGATTTTTTACAGAGAGGAAGGGAGAGAGATAGAGAGCTAGAAACATCAATGAGAGAGAAACATCGACCAGCTGCCTCTTGCACACCCCCTACCGGGGATGTGCCCGCAACCAATGTACATGCCCTTGACCGGAATCAAACCCGGGACCCTTCAGTCCGCAAACCGACGCTCTACCACTGAGCCAAACCGGTTTCGGCTACTTGCTAACTTTTAATGTCTTTTTCCATCCAAGACATACACACAAATGAGCACTCTAAACAGACTCCGCCTAACCTAGTCAAAGTACTCAAGAACTTGAGAAGTCATTTAGCATGTATAAGCTTGAGAATATTCTTAACAAATATCTTATATAATAATTATTATTACTATTATATAACCTTGCTTATAGGGACAAGGTTACATCCTGGACTTTCTTTTCCACTATCTCTGGTTCTTAGATATTTGAAATTCCAAGGGCTTAGAAGTCACTTCTGATACTACATTCTCATTGGTAGATGATGACATGTTTATACTCAGAATTGATACTTGTGAGAAATTTGTTTTCTGGTTGCTTTCCTCTGTTAAAGCAATAGAGCACATGTGTCAAACACAAGGCCCGCGGGCCAAATCCGTCCCGCCAGGCCTTGCAATGTGGCCCGCACCGCGCTGTCATCACTGCACTCCGCTGCGTTTCCATCACAATGACAGTTTATGACTGTTCAGTAAACCATTCGGCCCGCGATTTAGGCTGGATTTTAGATTTTGGCCCCTTCTCTGATTGAGTTCGACACCCCTACAATAGAGTCTGGCTTGCCCTCCATACTTGCCTCTAAATCTTCTGTGTTCTTTTTTTATGCCATTTCAACTGTGTTTCAGGGAGCAAGATGTTTCTCTAGGAAGACAATACAGTAGTCTCTCCTTATCTGCAGTTTCTCTTCCCTCTTCCATGGTTTCAGCTATCTGTGGTCAACCACGGTCTAAAAATATTAAATGGAAAATTCCAGAAATAAACAATTCATACGTTTTAAATTGAGTGCCATTCTGAGTAGCATGATGAAATCTTGCACCATCCCTCACCACTCTGGACATGAATCATCCCTTTGTCCTTCATATCCACGGTGGGTATACACCTGCCTGTCAGTCACTCTGTGGCCATCTTGGTTGTCAGATGGACTGTCTGTCATGGTATCTCAGGGCTAGTGTTCAAATTGGGAGGTAATATATTTCTTTTGGAGTCACAATGAACTTTATAGCATTATAAATCCCCTGGGAAATCCAGTGGTCAAGAAATCTTTTTAACTGTGATTAATACAGGGTCTTCTATAGTTACTTTTACCTCAGAACTCACTCCTCCCCAGAGCACTTGGTAACACTCTTTTGGGAAAACCGAGTTTAAAACATTCTTCCCTGATACAATAGATTCACTATAAATAAGGTATCTGGATATAATTATGCTAGTCAAAATATAGATAGGAATCATGATCTTGAATCTCTATTCTCTTCCCCTTAAAATGAAATGTTTGTAAGCCATATTTTTTTTAAAAAATATATATTTTTTATTTATTTCAGAGAGGAAGAGAGAGGGAGAGAGAAATAGAAACATCAATGATGAGAGAGAATCATTGATTGGCTGCCTCCTGCATGCCCCCTACTGGGAATTGAGCCCACAACCCAGGCATGTGCCCTTAACTGGAATTGAACCCCAGGACCCTTCAGTCCATAGGTGGGCACGCTATCCACTGAGCCAAACCAGCTAGGGCCATCTTAGTCCTTTAGAATCATCAAGACACAAGACTTAGCTTTAAGTTACAAAATAGTTATAAAATTACTTTTAGTTTGAAAACCATCCTACATAACTTAGCTGTTGATTCAAAGCCTTTGGGAAACATAAAATGAGAAGTGAACTACCAGTGATTTATAGAACCTAATCGTTCTTACTTTATAGATGGGAAACTGAGCCCTAGCAATATGCCCAAGGCCCCATAGCTAACTGATGGTAGACTCAGGTCTCCTAGCTGTTGGAAAATGTTTCGTAAGAGTTTATAATCAATATGATTCAGTTTTCTGAAAAATTCCACTCAACTTAATTTCTTTTATTGAAAGCAATGAGGTGGAAAATGAGAGAAAGAGGTGCCAACTTCTTTCTCTTTCTTCCATGAATGCAGAAATTAATAGCTTGAGTCTGAAATCTTGGTACTTAAAACTGTAATATACCCATAAGTCCAACAATCACTTCTCCCATTTCCTTGTTAAAAACCCAAAGAACCCAGTTTTGTGCAGGCAGTAGTATGCCCAGACAGACACAGAGAATAAATTATGAGTATTCTAAGCCAGTGGTTAAATTCCTTTCCCTTTAGCCAATTTCAGGAGTAGGAGTAAAGGTGTGGCCAATTCTGTCCAATATGATATAAAAAGATTATTTCTGAGGGCTTCTTAGAAATAAGTTTTCCTTGAAGAGAAGCATGTTAGGGGGAAATATTTGTATTCCTGCTCCTTCTTTTCCCCCTGGGGTTGGATATGATGGGAGGATATGAAATGTGTAACTTCTGCAGCCATCCTTAATCATCAGGAGAGGCATAGGAAAGAAGATGTGGATGGCAGAGCAGAAAGTTGAGATGTTGCACCTTTTGGACTCCTCGCCAGATGAGGTAATAATGATCCCATTATTGGAGCCAGGTAATTAGATATTCTGTTACTGATTGATTATCATTCTAATAATACCAAAACAAGTAAGAAAAATTCTCTAGCATCTTGACCCCTTGCACTGAGTCATTTCATAAGTTCTATGATATGTCCTTTCAAAGGAACAGAATGTTCTTCTGTCTTATCATTCCACTCTGAGACAGGCTATCTAGGAAGTAGTCTGTGCATTCTTTGTATCTGAGGTTATTACCACCATAGCTTCATAGGCTACACCATAAAACTATAACTCTGATTGACTTGGTCTCTCTGAGAGCCCCGCAGAAAGTAAAGGTCAAAGGAAAGTAGATGTGCAATTCTATTTCTGATTTGCTACATTCACCTTAGTCCCAAAAGGGCAGTTGAGAGTCATGTGAGATAAAGGGCAATTATACATTGTGTGGACCATCCTTACCCACTACTCACCAGCAATGTTCCCCAACTATATATTATGACAATCCCAAAGGAATTTTTCTCAATATTATATATTTAAGATAATACTCTGTTGATCTAAGTAGTTTTAGGTCACTGGTTCTCAGTATCATAATAGAAAACATTCCAGAAACATGTGGCTTTGACTTTAATTCGTTAATCAGCACTACCATCATTTAGTGTTCCATTAGTGATTTTAGGTCACAATTTACAAGTGATTTTACCCCAACTAATGAACAGAATCCTTATAAATGCAGTATTTTTTAATACATTTTTATTGATTTCAGAGAGGAAGGAAGAGGGAGCGGTAGAAACAACAATGATGAGAGAGAATCATTGATTGGCTGTCTCCTACACAGCCCCTACTAGGGATCAAGCCTGCAATCCGGGCATGTGCCCTTGACCAAAATCAAACCTGGGACCCTTCAGTCTGCAGGTGGATACTCTACCCACTGAGCCAAGCCAGCTAGGACTAAATGCAGCATATCATATGAACATACGTCTAAATTTGTCATTTCTGATTATTTTTTTCTCCTTTTGTCTGTAATACTTTATTAACCAATGCTTTATATCCACTTGTATGTCAACAAATTTTGCTATTTCAGAGTTTATTCTCATTTAATTTTTAATATAACCTTGTGACATAATCATGGCAAGTATATCTATTCATACTTAGAGAGAAAGGGGAAAAATAGAAAGCAATTAATTTATCTACGATCTAGCTAACTGCTGACCAAGCTAGAATTACAGCCCTAAACTTAATTATAAAATGGGCAAAATAGTATCAATCTTGTCAGGATTTAATGAAGTAATTTTATTTTTTAAAAATAATCTCATTCACTGCTTAATCAGTAATATTGAGTATTGTCAATAATGTTACCAAGCCCTTATCTCTTTGATTTGTTTTAATATCCACTATTTTCAGAAAATCAGCCCTCTTCAATTCATACTGAAAATCCAACCTGAACACAAGCCCTGAGATACCACAACAGTCCATCTGATAACCAAGAACATTCCAATTCCCTCAGCCTTCAGGAACACAAGTGTCTGGAGACTCATTTACCACTTCAAGGATCTGAGGCTTTTACAGCTTCTTCTACAGATTTGCCTCAGCAGTCTTTTAGAAAAGCCCAAAGTAGATCTTACATCTCCTCTAGTCCTGCATTCTTTATTTGCAGCACTTCAGGATCTGGTGTGCATTAAATGATCCCAAATAACATTTTAGGCAATTATTGCAGTGTCTTCTCCCATCCAGTCTTCCATCACCTCTTCTAGGAACAAGAAAATAAGCTGATCTGCATTTCAACTCCTCCTCTTTTTTCTTCCTATCTCTGATGGGGCCTAAAAGGCACAAGCTGGGCTTCCAGTAACAGTCTAGAAGAGTGGTCGGCAAACTCATTAGTCAACAGAGCCAAATATCAAAAGTACAACGATTTGAAATTTCTTTGGAGAGCCAAATTTTTTAAACTTAAACTATATAGGTAGGTACATTGTTATTCATTTAATTAGGATACTCCTAAGCTGGCCTTTCCTAAAAACTCAAGGGGCCAAAGAGCCGCATGTGGCTCATGAGCTGCAGTTTGTCGAACACTAGTCTAGAAGGAAGTCATTACCTAAAGTTTTAATCATCAGTTTCAGAGTAACTGGGACTTGTCTCTAGTCAACAACTTCATCATTTTACTGAGTCTGTGTTCAATTTCTAATAGTTTTTTTAAATACATGTTTGTCTTATAAATCTTTCCCCATATCCCGTATAAATATGCCTTTTCCCACTTAACATAGAACTGAGAAGTAATGTTCTTATACTATTCAACTCCAGTTCAAAAACTCTCCAATAGAAATCCAAGGTTCAAAAGAAATTCTTTCAGCATTCTTGTTTTTCTTTTAATATTTTTATTGATTTCAGAGAGAAAGGGAGAGGGGGAGAGAGATAGAAACATCAGTGATGAGAGAGACTCATCATGCCCCCACTGGGGATCAAGCCCACAACCCAGGCATGTGCCCTGACTGGGAATTGAACCCAGGACCTCTTGGTCCATGGGATGACACTCAATTCACTGAGCCACTACAGCCAGGCCTTTCAACATTCTTGAGTGCCTTTTTCTGTTAGGGTAAAATATATAAATCTCACTGGAATGTGAAAGAGTAGAGACATTTTATTATACAAGAAAACCTGAACTTATAGTTCTTTTCCTGAGATGTGCAAACCAAGACATGTCCTTTCCCCCCTTAGATAAATGACTAAAATTAAAGATAAAAACTTGGATACTGGAAAGGAAGACTTATAACAAGAATTGGGGTTGAAATTTCATGATGATAAGGGAATTAAAATAAACTTTCCTAGTAAAGCAAACTACTAGTATTCCTCTACTACATATTTAGAAGCGTTGATTGGTTAGCATTCATTTATCTCTTAGTGTTTGAGTCCCACTCTCCCTCCCTTTCTTTCTCATCCATTTTTTTCCCTAACTCTCATAATCACAGTCTCCCTCCTCTCTGCCGTTCAAACATAGGCTAGTAACGAAGTCCACACATAACACCCCATATTTGCACATCTGCACTCCCACTAAGAGTAATTCATAGCCATACTTCAGATTTGATCTTTGTCTCATGTGCCATTTTTCACCCAAGTATGAGAACATTCCCCGTGCCCACACTCCCAGTAAATACAACTAGAGTCTCAAATAAATGGAATGTATTGCATTGAGCATCAACCATTCACTAGAAATGAATCACTGCCCACTTGGCTATTTACCAGCTATTGTCTGCTAAAGAAGTCTAAGCCTGTGGACAAGAACAAACAGACAAAAAGCAGAAAATTACCCTGCCACTTCAGATTTCCAGAGAAGTGGCACATACCCAGTGTCTTAAGAGTGAAGAGATTTTGTATGTCAGAGTGCCTTGAGGGGGAAAAACAGTGCATTGTAAAGTAAGGTACTATTTCATTATTTCTATTAAGAGCTCCCTTATAAGTTGGCTTAAAAGTACCTACAGAAGCCCTTGAGCAAAGACTGGAATTGCATTTATTTTACAAATATATTATCAGTTTAATTATTGTTTCTTTAGGCTTCTCAGAGTTTCTCCTGGGAAGATGAAATGCTATGATAAATGAGCTATTGAATGGATACCCAGGATACGTGACCACTGTATTTTTCTTAACCATATGAAACTGCAGAGCAGAGTTTTCATTTCAAATGTTCAAAATTTGCAATTAGTAGTTTCCTTACACTAGAATAATCCTAATATATAAAAAGCCAGGGGCTGTCATGACCGAAACAACTCAACAGACAACTGAACTGCAGCCTGTATGGGGTAATCAGGCCAGCAGGGGGGTTAGTGAGGGTCGACCAACAGTAACCAGGCTAGCCGGGGGAGTTGGTGATGACCAGGCCAGCAGAGGGGCATTTGGAGATAACCAGGCCAGAGGAGTGGGGGGTAGTTATGGGCAATCAGGAAGGTGAGCAAATAGGAGCCAGTGGTCCTGGATTGTGAGAGGAATGTCCAACTGCCAGTTTAGGCCCAATATCCAGGATTAGATCTAAACTGGCAGTAGGACATCCCACGAAGGGTCCTGGATTAGAGGGCTGTGGGGACACACACACACCCCCGCCCCCAGTGCACCAATTTCATGCACCAGGCCTCTCGTGGGTTTATGTTTGATTAGAAAAAGTGCTTTATTGGACATCATTTCCTATTAGACAAGTAAATTTTTAGAAATATTTCCACTATTCTTTGCTATGAACAAAAACCACTAAATGGCAATGTTCTACCAAACCAACAAATTACATTCTCAGGGCATTTTCTTTTGATTAGTTTAATGTCTCCTCTGTGAACATACCGTGCTAATTACATAAGGTTTAAAATAGAAATAGTGGCGAGAAACAAATGGCCTTCAGCAACATCCATTCCAACACAACTACTGCCTCCATGTGAAATGTTTCTGGTATTGTTTCCTCTACTTCTCTTCATGTGGTTGTGATCACAGTCTGTGCAAATTAGGTGCCTCTGTGTTTTATAAATATGTATAGACATTTAATATTTGCATAGCATCCCTTCGTGTAAAGGAGTTTTTCTGTTTAGTTAACCAGGTCTTAATTGTTACATATTTCAGGTGATATATCTTGCCACTTACATAAAAAAAATAATGAGGAATACCTCTGTGAAAAAATATATTTATTCACTGACAGAGCAAATATATATTGAATGCCCATTGTTTGCTCTGCACTGTTTTAGATGTTAGAAATAGAACAATGAAACAAATAGAGACACTTGCCCTCAAAGGTTTTATATCCCAGTAGGAGATAAACAGGAAACAAAACAAATAAGAAAATAGATAGCGTGTTAGATAGTGATGAGTTGCACGAAGAAGGGAAAAGGATTAGCTGCAATGGGAAGGTAATGGTGAACATGACATGTAGATAAAAATGGCGGCGGGGCGGGGGGAGTAAGAGGACAAGCAACTACATGAACTACATGTCTTGATGAAGAACATGCCAGAGAAAGAGAACATCATATGCAAAAGACTCTTCTTCAACACTTCAAATTCTTTTAAGGAGTGGAATTACTAGGCCAAAAATACTAAGAGATACAGCTTATAGCATTTTCAGAGTGTCATTTTTTTTAATCACATTATCCCTAGAGCATTTATTTGTCAAAGTTCTGGTTGAAAAGCAATTTGTTCCTGCTAATATATATATTTTTTTTACAGTAATGGCTATTGTGAGAAGTTCTAGGTGCAGGTTGCTTTCTGAATTTCTTTAATGCCATGAAGCATTTCATTTAATGGAATATATCGGCTAAAATAATGTTATCAATATTGTACTACTGTGATTAACTACTATTTTCCTCCTTAGGAGATTAGATTATACATAGAAAATGAGTTGTATTTGCCTGACAAGCACAACAATTATTTCACAATGTACCTGAACTCACTATGTTTAAATATGAAACATTTGTGAGATGACAAATTTGGTGGAAAATTGTCTTCACTGCCCTGAAACTTATTACTGTAAATAGACTACAGGAAGGAGCACATACTCATAAAATATGAAACAATAGTGCTTGTTTTGTACAAGACAAGGAAATTAAGAATGGAATATTACTAAATTTAGAAACCCAGAGGAAAACTGAGTTCTTGATTTAGAAACGTATTGCACAGTAATGAGGTGGGTTTTTTTTCTTTTTCTTTTTTCATTTTCCTCTTAGCAAACATGAACTCTGCTATGTCATTCTCTCCTCTTCGCACATTTTCAAGTACATTTCCTTGCAGCATATAAAAATACTGTATTCTGTAAGTTAATGCAAAAATATTGCATTATTTATGTGTCTTATACTACTCAGTTCAATCCATGCATTTAGCATTTGCCATTGGAATAATCTCCTCCCCCAATACCCCAATAATTTAAAGATAAACAGATAATTTTTAATATATTTTATTGATTTTTTACAGAGAGGAATAGAGAGGGATAGTGAGAAACATCGATGAGAATGTACCAGCTGCCTCTTGCACGCCCCCTACTGGGGATGTGCTCGCAACCAAGGTACATGCCCCTGACCGGAATCAAACCCAGGACCTTTCAGTCCGCAGGCCAACGCTCTATCCACTGAGCCAAACCGGTCCCGGCAAATAGGTAATTTTTAAAAACCAAATATATTTTGAATATATTGAAAAGTTGTTTAATTTAGGTAACAAAAAAATTATGGCCACCTGTCCCTAGATGTTATTCATTACATGTTATTCAATTCATTAAATATTTGTTGAAGGTCAAAATACTGTCACCCAAGTGATTGCACATGGCAATTCTCCACCATGCCATAGAAGACCCTTTATGATCTGGACTCTATCTTTTTACTTATCACCACTTGCTTCTCCTTTCTGTGGCTCCAGCCATATGAGAGCCCTTGCAGTTCTTCAACTTTATTATTCCTTGCATCCTTTGTATTTCCATATCCTTTTTATTTTCTACTCTCAGGAAAAAAAGTAGCAAGATAGCTCTTTACCCAATCAAATTCTCCTTATCCTTGAAGTATCATCTTTGACCGCTTCTACAAAGTCTTCTTTTTAACTCTTCTTACTCCTGTCACCATGAGTCTGGGTTAGACTTCCCCTCTCATATTTTTCAACCCTATTTCATAATTGTTCATTTATCGCGACACACACCTCTTAAATAAACTATGAGCTTCCAGAGAAAATGGACTGAATAATATATTTTTCTCTAGTTCCTTCAACTAGTATAGTTTCTGACCCATAAAGGGCAGGAAACTAATGTTTACCACTACCATAATTCAGATTTAAAAAATTAAAAGTTAAGCTCATTGAGTTAAACAATGGTCTTATTTTTAAAGGCAGGCCTGTATGGTTATACATGTGGTCCCACAGGTATTAGCTATTCTTTCTTGATGGACCCAAAGCACTCATCATTTAATTTTTTAATTTCCAGCTAATATCCCCTACTAAACTAATTTTTTTGAATGCAAGAAGAGAGTCAATCTTAGTACAACCCAAACCCAGCCAATATATGTACATACTACAATAGGTGATCAATAAATATTGGTTAAGTAAATAGATGAAAAGCAATCATTTATTAGCTCTATTTTACTTAAATAGAAATTGGAACTTTGGAAAGGTTTTTCTTTTTTGGTAACCTTTTCTAAGGACACTGCTACTTGTGGGAAAGCCAAAATTAGGACTCAGTTATATTTTGGCTCATAACATTTTATTATATCACCACATTTAACTGGACTAGCATTATAATTTTAAAGAAAAAAATCCCAAAAAATGTATATGTATTTCATAATTGCTAATGTTGTGCCCATGGTATGATTATTATTACCATTTTCATGGAAATGAGTAATTTTGGTGATATTCCTCTGAAGAGACTCCAAACAGTTCAATTTACATTGGATAATCCGAATAGCATAATAAAAAGTGTAGAAGAACTGAAAATACACTGGAATGAAACAAATGTATAGGTTTCTGAAGAAGCAATTCATCTCTTTGGGAAACCAGTTGTTTGTTTCTAAACAAAGAGGAGATGCCCACAATCAGAAACTATTCCAAAACATAGGTGTGAAGACCTGGAAAGATCACTTCATAAGGATCACAGCCATGCTGTGTACATACAAGGCAGGGTGTGAGAATGCACAACCATAAGAGCAAATGGGAAAAGGTGAGTGGAATGATCCTTGCTGTGCTTGAGTTAGTGGTATAAGTAACGGTCTAGAATGTATGTTGTATAAGTTTTATAAAACAGAAATTGCAAGGAGGTTAATTGCTGTTGCAGACAACAAAGGTTTTTTTGTGTGTGTGTGTTGTTTTGTTTTGTTTTCAAAGAATGGAAACAAGAGATAGTAGTGCAGAGAAGCAAATGAAGATGTGCTATTTCTGGTTGAAACATGTTTCTCCTGTATAATTCACTTCCCCATCAGGATCCATCCGGTGGCACATACATACACCACACTTAAGTTCCTGGCAAGGACATTAGGTAGATTTACACATGTATGTTGGTGAGATGAGGAGAGCTGATCAATTTTCAGATCATCTGGTTTTCTCCTAAGAGGCTTACTAGCCCAAGGATACTTACAGCAATAAAAGGACCTTTTCTTTTTATAGGACATATTTCTGCCAAAGAATTGTTCATTCTTTGTTTGAAATCCAAATTTAACTAGCTGTCCTGTTTGCTGAAATTGCAAATATATATATATATATATATATATATATATATATATATATATATATATATATATATATATATATATATTGGGGTGACCTCAATGGATCATATTAATGCCTTGGCTTTAGCAACACCAAGGAGGTTAAACTCCCAGGAGCTGCCACAGGAAAGGTTTATATTGAAATGAGACTGACCAATTTTTTTGCTAGATATTGGGGGGTGAAGGGGGGGAGAACACAACCCTGCAGCTGCCATTCTTAGTAGAGTCTAGAGAACTGGATGCATCACTTGCCCATTATGAAAACAGGTCACATTTTGATTGGACTGTCAAGACCAGCCACCAAAGCACTATTTTATGGGACTAGGGACTGTTAAATTGCTAAGTTAATGAAAGGATGAGAGCTGTGGTCTTTGCTTTTAGTATTACAGGTTTGACCAGCTACTGCAACACAAACTGCAATAATAATTCAGTGGCTTATGAGACTTAGAAATGTATTTCTCACCTAATGTTCTGGGGAATACATTGAAGGCTGGCAGGGAGAAATAGGAGGAGGTGGTTCTCTTACATAATTATTTAAGGACTGAGACTGACAATGGCTCTACTAGCTTTAATGGGTGGCTCCTACGGTCACTTTGTTATTAATTCCAGCCAGCAGAAACAGAAAATCAAAGAACATGGCAAAGCAAATGTGCATAACTTCAGCTAATAATAATGCAAGATTCTTTTTAAAGATACCCAATAAATTGTTAAGGCTGTATTCCTAGAAGTAAAACCAATTCTAAAAGCATTACTAGAAGTATTATATACCTGCCCAATTGGCAAAGTCTAATATCAAGTGTCAATGAGACTCTGGAGGAATAAGAACTGAAAACTCTGCTGGCTGGAGTGTGTATATTTGCTAATGTCTTCCACCCTGGACAGGCTGTGTCTGGGGATTAGCTTTTGTCTTTCCTGGTACAGCGAGGAGGAGGGTGCTTTTGAAAAGTATGTCCTGCTTTTAAGCAAATAGGGGCAGAACAGGTAGCTTTTCATATTTCTGTTTCTCAGTTGCCTTCAGCTCAAAATAATTCTAATGGCAAATTGGCATATTTTTGGATGGCATATACTGCTACCTTTTCCATATCGTACTTCCAAAATGATAGTATTCAACTACGTAAGTGTGATTTTTTTTTCTTTATTACACTAGCACTTGAAAATTCCTTTATTTATTTATTTATAAAAACTGATAGGGAAGCTCACTATGTAAAATGAATAAAAGCTCGGCCTGAAAATAGAAAGAGGAAAATGAGGGGTGAAAACCCAAAGTCATGAGACTTGTGGAACTAGAGAAAATCGCCAGGACTGGGACAAGGAAACCCTATCAGCTGGAGACAGTAGGAAGAAATTGATATACATATTCATCCTGGGTACAGAGTCAACTTGGTGACTGATCTTGAGTATATATGGAAAGGGCTTTGGGGTGGGAGAGGACAGCGTATTCTGTGTTGCTGCTCAGGGTGAAACTAGAACCAAGAAAAGGATACTATAGGGAAGAAGGCATCTTGAGGAAAGGCAGAACAACTTAGTGATGGGTACATCAAACTAAGGGCTCTCAAAAGACAGGGAGCTTACCAATGCTGGGGGCATTTGAAGTCTGGTTGGCCATATCCTTATGAAGGATGACATGGATGGAGTGCCTGTGTTTGAAAACATTAGGATAGAGGACTTGTAGGTCTCTTCCCTCCTATGTGGGTTAATGGAATGCTGATATTGATGGTCAAACTCATATAAGAGTACACCATGGTACCATTGGCCAATAAAACAGAAGCCAATACCAGCTTCAGCCACCCCTCAATCCACCTGGTTGCCTCTTTTAGCTTCACCTTTTCTTCTAAATGCAATTGTTCTTTTTCCATTTCTCACTAAGTCTGCTGCTCTTGAATGCTATTTCTCACTGAGTCTGCTGCCCTTTCTTTTTCTTTAAATCTTTCACTTTAAGGTAAACAAAAAGGACAAATGCTGACAAGATAAGCAAGGGTTGAGTGGTCTGAAAATCTCATCTGCTAATATTGGCAATTGATTACAGTCATTCTTAGGATTATTAATCCCGCAAGCCTCTTCATTAATCAGCTCTCTATTACTCATTCTTCCCACCTCTTGTAGCTCAAATTTGTAGACATCATATAGTGTTGAAAGGAGAACCTCACAAGCCATCTTTAGAACATTAGTCTGGCAGCTGGTTTAGTGAAATATCTCTTCACCCGCGCTGTACTACATTGATTAATTTTTAAAGGAATAGCTAAATGAAGATATTAATTATTTGTATGTGGTGCATATGCTCTCATGCACACAATTATATTTTAATTTACTTTTTAATGAGTAAGCCAATATGATTTTAAAATTATTTCCCATCTGGCATGCATGCTAATAAAGAAAAGAAATCTACTCATTTGTGCCATATTGAATTTAACCTTTTTTTTTTTTTGTACTTCCTAATTACATAGTTCTCAAGGAAATCAAACTATAAAAAATGGGTTTAACCTTTCTGATTTTTAGTCCACAAACATAGCCATTTAGTGTGGGAGAGAGAGAGGAAACACTGATTTTTAGAGGTCCTTAACAATATGAAAACAGAACCTGCATGCATTTGTCTGTTATTTGTCTTGACTTTAATTACGTTTTTGTAAAAATGAAATACAAGACAAAATGATTATCCTTCAAAACCATTAAGTGGCACCTGAATCATCATATAATTCAATTCAAAGACTGCCTCATTTGGGTGGGGTATATTGTAATCGATTTTTTGAAAATTCTATAAATCGTATAAAGAATGGGTAATAATAGTTTTTCTGATTCAAACTCTGTATATACTTCTAGACAGTTGCACACATTAATAAGTAGAATTAATAAAATCACAAAAATTTGGATATGAGTACACTTTTACGTACTTCTCAACATAAAAGTTTAAAAACATCATACTTAGATCTTTCCATGTGCCTCAAAATGAAAACTATACTGCTGCCTTTCAGGTAAATTGTGGATTGTCTGCAGGAGACCACATTCTTGCTGTAACATTTTAATGAGTTCCTGATTTAATTTGCCAAAAATGCAAAATCTCATGTGAAATGAGACAACTATGAGGAACAGCTGTCCCAGTATTCTTGAGCCTCCACTTTGCCCCCATGATTCACATGAGGGACAACGTATCTGACAGCTCTTTGCTTTCTCATCACAATCATTTTGTCCTATGCTCCCTTCACTCTTAAAGAACTTGTACTAGTCACCTCCTCCCTTCCATTTAAGGGAATATTTACAAACATGGAGTTCTGTTTCTAGACACCACATCCATTTCAGTAGAGAGAAAGCAGAGTAAATTCTCAGTGATCCCTAGACAAAAAAATTAGTTCTCTTATTTCCAGAATCAAAAACAGTTCATTTCCTCACATTCAATTCTGTGACTCTGATTTAAATTTATATTTTTTTAACCTGACGGGTACTGATGTTGAATGTGATCTAACAGCTACATTCAGGATTGCATTTTCCTGCACTAACCTATTGTTATTCTCTCTAAAATATACTTAAGATAATGATAAGAAAATGGGACTGAGTATCTAAAAATGCTGTCTCTTTGTTGCTCATGACTTTAAAAATACAAAATCTCCTTCATAAATTTAAGATTTCATTAAATCTCCTGAGTCATTGGTAAAATGACAGTAATAGTATTATACATGAGAGAGTTGGCATAGAAACCACACTAAGAAATTTGAAAAGTTTTATAAATCACAATACACTAGAACTTTCTATGCTTATCATGTGACATAACTGGGTTTTTTAGAAATTAGTGTTCAAAAATAATACTGATCATTTGCACAACAATAGTACCATAACCCTGAAAATGTTAGAATATAATATATATCTAGGTTACCCCCAAAAAAATATCTAAAGTATTTACATATTTCAAAAATAGATTTATATCCATAGATTTTTAAATAGATTTTAAAAATAGCTTTTATTCTTTTATGATTATCACTATTTGTGTATGTTTTTTAATGACTACTTCTGAAACCTAAAATTAGCATATCTTTATTCAATTAACTCAAATGAATAACAAATTATTTTTTTAAGTTTTCTCAACTTTGTAATGACTTATTCAACAGAATATATTTTATCTATTTAGAAGTCTGCACTTCTCTTTTACTTTATAGTAAATCACATGATTAACCACATAGCTTTATAAGTGCTTGCAGCACCCATCAACCAAATTGCAGTCCATTCATTCCTCCACTTAGGGAGTGCCTCACATATGTTAATGGTGGCAGTGGTTTTTCTGTGAAATGTGTGGTAGACCTGGCAATCATTTAATAAATATGCAAGAAATGTATCCCTTCAATTTTAGAATGAATTTCTAAACTTACCTTAGCTTCTTTTTTAGAAACCAAAGCTTGGTAAACAACATTTTGATCACTCACTCCTAAGATGAAAACCTAAATGCCTAACCTGAGCTTTCTTTTGGAAAACATTAACTTGAAATCTCTGCTTGATTTCTGCAGCTGGTGGTCTGGCTTGTTAAATTGCTTTGCTAATGCAGAGTCTAGAAAGTTAAAGGGAAAGAAAAAAAGTTCATGTGCTACCATAACAACCTCATGGCATTCTACTGTGCTCGTTAGAGGAGCCATGCTTCACTGATGCTTTGGTACTTGGCCATCATAGCATTTTTACTCTGCAGTGGAAATCATTTTGGGATTATCTTCCAAGCTTTGTGAGTAGTTTATCCACTGGCTTCATCCTTTCATATTCTCAATATTAACAATGGAAGAATTTTGATAATTTTAGGTTTTGACACAAAGAAATAATCTTTTAACAATATTATTTTTTGAAGTTAGTACTCACAATGGACTAGAGCGATTTTTGTTTTGTTTTGAGTCACCTGGAACAAGATTCCAGACCAGTGATGAGATTGGTCTGGAATCCCAGAGTGCTGAATCAAAATTTAGGTGGCTTGGGGTTGAGTCTGTCTCTTTCACCAACTAGCTGAGGGGTTTAATCCTGTGCTTTGGTTACATCATCTGTGTGACCCTGAGCAAGTCACTCGACCTCTTATGTGCTTCACTTTTCTCATCTGTAAAAGAGTTAATGGAACTGACTACTTCTTATCATTCCTGAAAGGAGTCAATGAGATTTATCTATAATATATAACAGTAATCAGTCTTGTCATAATCCCTAGATTATCTCACCTCAAATTCTATAAAAGTCAATTAACATAATAAATGTTGTATTAGTTTGTTATTGCTGCAGAGCAAATCATCACAAACTTGTCTTAAAACAACACCCAATTATTATCTCATCATTTCTACAGGTCAGAAGTCCAGTTATGGCCTAGCTTAATTCTCTGCTCAGAATTATACGTGGCTGAAATCAAGGTGCCAGCTCAGCTGTGTTCTTTCTGGAACTCGGAATCCTCTTCCAAGCTCATGTGACTGTTGGAAGAATTAATTTCCTAATGGTTGTAGGACTGAGGTTCCCATTTCTCACTTAATGTCACCTCAGGGCTGTTCTTAGCAACTGGAGGACTGCCTACTGTCCTCTGCCAGGTAGCTCTTTTCACCCAGATAGTTGCCTTCTTCCCATCAAGCAAGAGTATGTCTCACTGGCTTCTAATCCCTTCCCGTCAGCTGAAAAAAAACCTCTGCTTATAATGGTACCCGAACAGCAATGGTAACCTTTAGTCATACACTGCAACATGATCATGGCTGCATATCTCTTCATGCTCACAGGTTTCACCCTCACTCAAGGAAAAAGATAATATGAGGGTGAGGATCCTGGAAGGTCATCTTGGAATTCTGTCTTCCACAAATGTGAATATGAAGTGAAAAGTAAAAATTATATACATAAAGTGCACACTATTGTATGATTTATCCTTGTCCTCATCATGCTCATGATATCAACAAATTTCTAACCTCATACAACACTATTCCACTTATGTTCAATGATTTAAATTAGCTTCAATTCATCTAATATGTAACTCAGAACTTAGCATTCACTTCATAATGTCTGGAATGTATTAAGTGCTCAGAAAATATTACTATTTTCACCCTTCTTAATACACGTTTAAGTTGTACTGCATCTGCCAAGATTATTTTGGATGTTATCAATCTGAAAAATGCTAAGAGGTAACCATTTGTCTAACTTTACTTAATTTTATACTATTTTCTGTCTTCCTCCCTTCCTCCATGCCTGTCTCCTTTTTGTCCTTCCACTGTTCCCCTTTGTCTTTCCTTATTTTCTCTCTCTCTTCCTTCCTCTTCTTCTCTACCATTTTTCTTTCCAAGCAGATATTATTTTAAATTTCCGAACAACCTATGTCAGCAAGTCTGGCCAAGTTATCTTTGAAGCAAGATCAATTTGCATCCACTATGTCACCACTTGGTTCATCATTGATTTAATCGCTGCTCTGCCTTTTGATCTCCTGTATGCTTTCAACGTCACAGTGGTGAGTAAGGAAAGACCTCCCTTGCACATGACCCTGAAGGCTGGTTTTACCCCTTTGTTTGTTTTTCACATGTTCAGGTTTTAAACGTTTGTGGCAATTTGGCAACCTAGGTTTTATGTCCTTGTTAATAACGACGCCAAGGTGCCCAATGATATGCAGGTCAGATTCTCCACTCGAGGAAGAATCTCCTCTTGAAATTTGCATTACCTGCTTCTCGTTATTTAAATACCAAGAACAAGGATATACAAAACAGCTAAATATATCAGCAATACAGAGTCACTACACAAACCCTTTGATAAGAAAGCCATCTATAAAACTATAGCATAACTTTATCTTGCTTGAGCAGATATTTGCCTCTAGAGATTGGTGGAGAGTTTGAAGATTTCCTTTACTTTTATGAGCTTTATTCTTACTTCTTGAGTATTTTATTACTCATTGGCAAAACAAACAGAAGACCGATCAAGATAAAAAAATCAGCTGCTTTTTGGAAGTCTTTATAAAAATGTTGCTTGAGGCAGCATCCTAAATGACACAATGACTGACTTGAGCTCTCTGTTATTAATCTAACATGTCTCAAAATAATGTGTGCACAATTTGGACAATTCTTAATTCCAATGGGTTAAATCTGAAAAGAAACATCAATTGAGCTATCAGCTATTAAGTGTGTATGCATTTTTGGGGGGACATCCTGTATTTGTCACGTCTCTTCATCAAAAGCCTTTATCCTGTCTCTTTACAGAGAAAAACACATTTCCTACTTGCAGTAATAGCAATTTTTACTATTTAATGATTGATATCCTTACAAGATTAAGTGCTATCTAATAAATAGAATTTTGGGGAGGTATAATAGCATTTTTGGACCAGTAATGCAATTTGGTGCTAGCATAAACAATTTTTCCTGGAAAAAAATTTATTAACCATTAATTCTAATTAAATATATTTCCTATGCAGTTAGCAAACTCCTGTAGAAATATTTCCTATCAAGAATGTAAAAGCACAGTTTTCAGTATTAAATAAAGTGATCAATATTTCAAATACAATTGGTATCAACTTCAAAATGAAGATTGAACTGTAATCCTTACTATTTAGTACATTTTTGTCATTTGTTAATTTCATGTACAATAGTATTTTTTTTTCTTTTTCTTTTCTTAAGTTGGGAAGTGAGGGTGTCAACGTCTTTAAGAGGTTTATAACTCAACTGAAATAACGCTCTGGGGGAAGTTAGTGTGTAATATCAATCAGTGCTACATGAGTTGTTATCTAGGCTTCTTAAAGTGCTTTTTAAGGTTGAATTTGACTAGATAAGTGTACTATAATGAAAGTATACCAGGTATACCAGTTAAGAACGCAGATTTTTTTTTTTCAATAGATGGGAGTTACACATATGTTGATATATATGCAATTTGATATGTATGCTATTTTGTTGTATCAATAGCAAACTTCATATGTTAAATTTGCTGAAAGTGTTAACTCATAGATATTTTTACACTTAAAAATGTCAAATTTTGTGCCAAAAAAAAAGACCATTTGCAGGAAGTTTTAATTCATTAACTTATTTTGGAGAAAAGAGCTGCTGACAGTTATCATATACTCAGGAACCTTATGGTGAACATGCTCCATCTCAAGATACTTGTGAATGCTGGTTTAAATGCTTTAAAGGTGATGATTTCAATGTGAAAGACAAAGAATGTCCAGGTCAACCAAAAAAGTTTGAAGACCAACAATTACAAGCATTATTGGATGAAGATGTGTGTCAAACTCAAAAACAACTTGAGAAAGATTAATTGTTGCTCAGCAAACAATTTCCGATCATTTACAAGCAATGGGAAAGATTTCAAAGGAAGGAAAATGGATGCCACATCAATTGAACAAAAGACAAATGGAAAACTGAAAAGTCATTAAGTAAAATGTTGCTTTAACGGCATGAAAGAAAGTCTTTTTGCATTGAATTGTGACTGGCAATGAAAAGCGGATTTATTTTGAGAATCCCAAATGCACAAAATTATGGGTTGATCCAGGTCAACCGTCAACATCAACTGCAAGGCCAAATTGCTTTGGAAAGAAGACAATGCTCTGCGTTTGGTGGGATTAGGAAGGTGTGGTGTACTATGAGCTTCTAAAACAAAGTGAAACTATTAATACTGATCACTATCAACAACAAATAATCAATTTGAACCACACTTTGATTGTGAAATGACAAGAATGGGCAAGAAGATGAGGCAAAGTAATTTTGCTTCATGATGACACACCATAAAACACTTCAAAACCAGTTAAAGACACGTTAAAAGATCTTGCCTGGGAAGTATTAACCCACCCGCCTATTCACCAGACCTTGCTCCTTCAGATTACCACTTGTTCTGATTGATAGCACATACACTTTCTGAGCAGCACTTCAAATCATACTAAGAAGTGGAAAATTGGGTCTCTGAATGGTTTGCCTCAAAACAAGAAAAGTTCTATTGGGATGGTATCCACAAATTACCTGAAAGATGGGGGAATGTGTAGCTAGCGATGGACATTACTTTGAATAAAGCTTAATGTGTCTTTCACATAACTTTTGATGTTTCTCTTGAAATTATTGTGTTTTCTTTAATTACAAAATCCGCATTATCAACCGGTTAACAGTTAATCCAAATGTGTAACCGGTTAAGAGTTAATCCACATTAATAATGAATAAAACCAGCCAAAACCGGTTTGGCTCAGTGGATAGAGCGTCGACCTGAGGACTGAAGGGTCCCTGGTTCGATTCCGGTCAAGGGCATGTACCTTGGTTGCAGGCACATCCCCAGTGGGAGGTGTGCAAGAGGCAGCTGATCGATGATTCTCTCTCATCGATGTTTCTAACTCTCTATCCCCCTCTCTTCCTCTCTGTAAAAAATCAATAAAATATATTAAAAATAATAATAATAATAATAATGAATAAAACCAGGCTTTTGCTATACTGAAAAATATATATATATACAAAGGAGTATATTACTCACAAAATACTAATAAAATGTTTCCAAATCCTCCTGAAAGATTGTTAAATAAATGCTGTTTAATAGACTGTACTCTAGATTAACTAGCTTCTTTGCTACTAAATACTAATAATATTTTTATATTCCATTTCTCTTTGGACACTGGATAAATAAAACAATTTTAAATATATAGTATAAAATATAAATATATAACATATTCACATATCAACATCCTTGTTACCTAAAATTAACAGAAATAAAAGATTTATTAAAAAGTTTAAATCTCTTGATGAATTTTAAATACCTGTACACTTTCACTGCACTTCTGTACCTTTCTGTTACTCATTCTGACTTGTTAAATCTGGTATAAATGCTTTAGAAATAATGCAAGTTGTAGATTAACATCTGAGTCAGAAAGAAAAAGAGGAAGGAATGAAATCTTTATCAGTGATAATTTTTTTTTTTTTGCTTTTCACTAGAGTAAGGATATAATTATTTAACAAATTGGTACATAAATTTAATATTCCCCCAAATAATCAGGTTGAAATATTCTAGTTTGAATAAACTGTTCAACATATTTACTTCCCAAGAAGCATAAATATGATCTTCCACTGTTATATTGCACAGCCATATTAAAAAAAAAAAAAGGAAGAAACAAAGGTGTTGTCTTCCAGATCTAATAAAATGTGTCCAGTTAATGTATCTCTATAGATGACACTGAAAAATACTACCATAAAAATATGTTTTAGCTTTGGTTCTGCCTACAGTTGCTAATGGCAAATGTTTTATATCTAGCTCACACATTTATTATTAAAGCCTACTATATACAAGCCCTATGAAAGGCACTACAAGAGAGAAAGTTATGAATGAGACATAGAAGTATGATAGAGTAAAAAAGGCAAAAGTATACATCCTAATTTATCACTTATCATATAGATTACTTCCTTGGGAAAGCTATCAAAATAGGTCTAAAATAAGCATAAAAATCCCTTCAGGGTTTTTGAGCAGCCTCAAAATATGCTATTTATCACCCCCTGCCTCCAAAAGCTTAGATAAGGTTAAAAAAAAAATAGTCAAACTCTATTTGCATGAGTTAATATTTTATCTTTTTTATTTTCAGAGGCTGTTTGAAGGTGTGAAAGGAGTATATATTAGTGTATCACCAACGTTGTTAATAGTGACAGGGACCATTCTGGTGAATGCCAATGGTACACATTTGTCTGTTGGGCCCTAAAGTCAGGAAAATAACCTTTAGCTCCAAGTCTAATGCTTTAGTGCATGCAAAGGCAGAACCTAGGAGATTTTTTTAAACTATTTTGTTCCCTTTGATTTTGGTTCACTGGCTATACCTGAGAATTGTAGATGCTCGGACAAATGTTTTCTTTCTTGATGTTGTTAGAAGGAAGAAGGTTTAGCATATCAAATGGGAGGTACTACTCTACTTGTGAGCAGAACTTAGTCGAGTTTTACAGTTCTAATTATTTTTCAAAATCCTAAGTTACCTTTATTACCACTTTACAGGCTTTTACTTCAGTCTATATGAATTATTGCTATAAAGAATTCCCTTCCACAGAGGAGGGGATGTGGAATTGATAGAAAATGTATCTAAAGATATGAGATGTCCAGTGTACAATCCTGGTAGCATAATGTGTTTCAGTTGTGTATCAGAATAAATAAAATTATATTCAATCAAACAGGTAGAGAAAAAGAAATAAATCTTAATTAAGGAAGATAAGTATTTACTCAAAGGAAAAAATCATCCTTCTTCCTCTTTTCACTTCCTAATACATGTCAAGAGATGACATAGAAATGGTCATACAAATGGAATCATGATTATACTTAATTTCAAGAACTTTCCAGAATGCTTGTAAGTTCAAGAACTTGTCTTGGCATGAGGTGAACCCCTGAGCCAAGTTGTGTTGCCCTGTCTCCCACCACAGGTTTCTCTTGTGCATCTCCTGAAGACCGTTCGGCTGCTGCGACTTTTGCGCCTCCTGCAGAAGCTGGACCGTTATTCCCAACATAGCACCATCGTCCTGACTCTGCTCATGTCCATGTTTGCGCTCCTTGCACACTGGATGGCGTGTATCTGGTATGTCATTGGAAAAATGGAGAGGGAAGACAACAGCCTTCTGAAGTGGGAAGTTGGTAAGGGTTTACATTTGTCGCATTTTCCATTTATAAGTGAAAAGGAAGATAGTCTAGAACTTGGAGGAAGTGAAAGATGAATCTATAATAGATGTCCTCTATCCATTTGTCATGTCTTTTTACAAGTTAATTTCTTTTGAGAAGGTTTTCTACAACAACTTTTTTTTTCAGAGTTTTGGATTAAGAATTCAATTGGTTTGGTGATTTAAATGACCAGCAAGTCTGTAGATGTGTTTGGATAAGTTTAGATAAGTAATGTGTGATCTTATCTTGGCATACCCAATGCAGGGCTGGTAATAGCAAGTCACTAAGCAACTGGCCTATGGCCGACATTACAATATTTGAAATCATAAGAAAATGATCATTTGTATTTTAGGTGGCAAGTTAGTAGAAAAAAAAATCCATTTTTTCCCTTTAAGAAAGAGAGGAAAAGCTATCATAGTGAAAAACTTTCCACATTTAGTACATACCTTGAGAATTTGTGATATTTATTCTGGATAAATACAAATATAATTTATAAGGACTGTGTATTTAAAATATTTGTAAAATTTTGTGTCCTCATCATACATGGGAGTTTAAGGGAAATTTTCCAAGTGTTATATAATTCTGCATAAATGAATTTGAAATGTTGACACATAAACATTTTTTTTTAATTTATGTCATCTACAACAATTTTCAAAAATGAAAACTTGTGAAGACTATAACCCTCTATCCTAAAATATCTGCATTCTTCTCACAGTCATTTCCTGAGTTGTCTGTTTGTTAAGATTAGGGGCATTAATATGTTTCTGGCTTACGGAGTGCCAAGTGCTACTGTTCTTAATTGAGTTCAAAGTTGGAGATGTATCTCACACAGAAAGCACTAATTTTAGGGTGGCCCAAAAGGTAATGTGAGCATCCAAAAGAAAAGAGGTTCACTTTTGGTGATCAGAGGGAGGAGCTAACCTTACACATGTATGTATGTAAGAATGTAGATAGGTAGGTAGGTATTCCTACCTACCTTCCTATCTACAAAAATGCCTTCCTCGTTTTCCAGTATCATTTATCATTATTCCATTTATTACCACTAATTAAATATGGCATTTTAATCATAATTATTATGCATACAGATGACTGTTACTAGGTTTCATTTCTCTTCACTGACAGTCTAATTTTATGCCAGTGTTGCAGAATTTTAATTATTGTACTGTTTCGATTTTGGTACAAAAAGCAGAGCAGGCCATTCTAGCCATTTACTCAGATCAATATAAGAAAAACTACACCCCTTCTCCAAATCTAAATGGCTTTTTAATTGCAGTTCATTTCAGAAATTTACTTTGGGAAATTAATGCTTTTGTAACACAAAGATATTTTTATCATCCAAAGTTATAATAGTTGATCTCCTTAGTTAAATTTTTAAAAATATAATTAAGATTAATTATATCGTTTTATTCACATGGGTTACACATATTTCTTATTAAATTTATTTCTAAGTATTATAGTACATTTTTGTGCTTATGGATTTCTATACATTTTTCATTAACTTTGTTCCAGTTATTGGTATAAGAAAATCTGGTGACTTGAAAATAATATTTTATAGAAATCACAAATGTGTCTACTAAATTTTAATTGATTTGAGTTTTTAAGAAGATAATCATATAACCTAAAGTACTAATAAATTTCTCCCCGACTTATCTAAGTCTATGCTATTTTTTTTGGCTACTGGTTTGAGAAAATTATTTTATTAAATATTTACTCTAACTTCATTAAATTTTACTGAAAATGTATTTTATAAATCACTGACATTATTTTTTTATTCTTGGTACTCCACAGAGTCAAACCAAACTTTAAACCATAGCCTCAAAAATATTTTTCATAAAAGAACATGCTGTAATAGAGAAATTCTTAGCTAGAAAGTTAGAATCCTCTATTCTAACCACAGTCCTACTACTAATTAGCTGTATTATCTAGGAAATTTTATCAAGCCATATTTGTCCCAATTATCTCTGAAATGAGATACTTGACTGATTCTTAGTGAGTCTCAACCCTTCTTGAGTCACAGCCCTTTTGGAAAGTGAATGGGAGCTATAGATCGCTCATGATAAATCCATATGCTCACATACAACTGGTTTGCATAAACTTATGATTGTGTATTCCATGATGTTCTTTCCTGAACTCCTTGTAAGCAAAACAAAGGAAAACATCTTAGTGCTAAGATGACTCTAAGATTATGTTCAACTTGGAGAGGATTTAGCTAACAATTCCTTTAAGAAAACTGTCTTACTCCTGAAGCATAGGTATGCTGAAGAAATAATATCTGAGTCTGTTGACATGTCTTTCATAATAAGTTAAAACTGGGTCAGAGCTGCCCTAACTCAAAAGTAAAACATGTTTTACCCGTGAAATCCCTTTTGTTTAATCCACTTCATCCTAAAACTCCTAACCATTGGAGGATTTTAGCCACAGCCATTACACTTCCAATTTTATGATGCAAACAAGCTCACTAAATAATTTCACTTCAAATGTAACTTTTAAGAAATGTAATGACTTCTTAAATTGAGAAAAAGCAATACGTACCACTCTTTAAATGGGAGGGAGAAAGTGTGATTAAAATGTTCAAAATTTTATTTCTGATTCAGTTTCTTATTTTATCTGAAGATAAAATACTTCTAAGGTATTTCTGAACATAGCTATTTCTGAAAAGAGTTCTTTTACTCTAAGGTATTTCTGCATAAAAATGCACAGTTCTACTTCCAAAAATATGCAAACTGGGTTTTGTAGCTTCTGGCCTCTGTTTTAAAGAGTGAGTAGAGTTGACCTGATATGCCTTTATAAAATTACTTTTTATTGTAGTTTATATATTTCTTTCCACAAATCCGAACATAAAGCTTTTAATTCCCTGTGCTGAGTAAACATTTTAAAGAAATAATAGAAAATAAAATGTGCTTCAGGAAAAAAGACCAGAATGTCAGTATTTTTAAGTTAGTTACCTTTACCTATTTCCTTCCCTCACTAAATTTAAGAATATTGGATCCAGATAAAAAATGTTTTTAATAACAACCCTTAATGAAGCCTCTTCCATCTACCCAATAACTTTCAAATGAAGGGCAGGATAAAGACATAATGTTACATCTTAACCTTCACTGAAAATTAAGACCAACCATTTATTTATCATTACAAGAAATGAAAGCACTAAAAAGACCGGTAAATAGAATTGGATTTTTAAATATAATTAACAGGCAACTTGAGTTTTTTAAGAGAACCACTCTAATGGAAACCCTTTCTCCCATACTCACACTGTGTTCTTTGATTCAGAGAGATTAGGTATCTGAGAAAATGGAGCAATTTTTTCTCTACTGCATAGACATTGCTTTAAAACAGAATGGTAGTCCCCTCAGGCCCATTAGCTTTTTTATTCCAACCAAGAATATCAGAGTCTTTAAACTGTACAAAATTTCCCACCTTGGAGATGAAGGTAGGGAAAGGAGGTATATATGCATAACCCAGGGACACAGACAGCAGTGTGGTGATGGCCAGAGGGGGCAGGGGCTGACTGGAGATGGGCAAAGGGCGAGTGGGGATATCTGTAATAGTATCAACAATAAAAATAAAGTTCTAAAAAAGGACAAAAGGGTAAAATAGTTGTAGTTTTTAAAAATCTTCTTGGATTTATTTTAGTTCTGTATATCATTAAAGATTTTTTTCAAGGTTGTTTAAAAAAATTTAATGAATAAAATGGTAGGGGAAATTATCGATATTGACTAATAAGTAGAAAACTATAAGTTAAATGGGCTTTTTAAAATTTAAATGACACCATCAAATTGTAGTTAAAGTAGCACATATACCTTATAAGTCACACCAACTATGAAGCACAGAGAAAAGGACAGAAAAGGGGTCCTCCAAAAACCACAAATGTAAGAAATAATAAATCATTAAGCATCTTGATTTTAATGACTATTTAATGACATGGAAGTAAGTTCAGGCTATTTCAGGTGAAGAGCTGAAGCTGCAGACTTCTATATATTACCTGATTCCTATTTAGGACAAAAAGGAAAATGCACACACCGAGAGAGTGGAAATAAGTTCAATAAGAAGTGGAATTACTTGTGAAGTTATTTTTTCTTTACATTGTTAAAAAGAATTTATATCAAATAAATATCTAGCTTAACATTTATTAAGCACAAGCTACATGGAAGGTGCAACACTTAATATATTTGTGTGCCCTATCTCAGCTGATCTTTTTTTTTTAATATGTTTTTTATTGATTTAAGAGAGGAAGGGAGAGGGAAAGACAGAAATATTGATTGGCTGCCTCCTGCACGTGAAACACTGGGGATTGAGCCCACAACCCAGCATGTGCCCTTGACCAGAATCAAACCCAGGACCCTTCAGTTCAAAGGCCAATGTGCTATCCACTGACCCAAACCAGCTAAGGTTCAACTGATCTTTATTGCAAAATTGAGGCAGATCCTTTCAACCCCATTTCACAAAAAAGGGAACTAAGTTTGGAAAGTTTATTCCCTGGAGATTTGTTTTATACGTTAGTAAATATTTTTAATATATAAAAATGTTTAGAAAGAATATAATAGACATCTTTGGGAAATTATATATTTTTTAACAGTTTTCTATATTTGCTTAATTTCTATTTTCAAGTCAATGCAATATTACAGATAAAGTCAAAGTCCCACTAAAATATAATTCCCACTTGCACCTTCTTCCTTACTATTCTTAGATGCTTTTACTACATAAATGTATTAATAAAACAACTTGCTATTATTGTGTTTCTTTAACCTCCACATAAATCACTACAAATGGGAGTAGTAGTGGTAATAATAATACTGATGATAATAGTAGGCATACACAGAACTTTTCCTTAGTACCAGACACTGTTCCAGGTACATTACATGAATTAATTCATTTAATCCTGCTATAATTCTATGAGCTCAAAACAATTAGCCCAATACTCAGAAAATATGATTAAATAACTTGTCCTAGATCACACAAATAGTTTACACCAGAGC